CACTGTATTACATTTAGTTTTACATTGGATAACCATTTTAAAACTACCAGTGCTTCTAGTTGTTGTTGCTCATTTTTAATCGCTCGTCCTCATGAGGAACCCTGACCTCATTCTCTTACCTCGCACAGCACAATTGTCATGGTTTTATTTTTCCGTTCTCTCCTTGGCTGTAAGGTGCTCGGGGCTCACGTTGAACTTCAAAGCAACATGAGGAGGAACTCAACAGCCAACAACGTTAAACATGTAAAAGGTGTCCTTTGTGCTTCCAGCAGGGACATTCCAGCAGATACTTCTTGGAGGGACGCACACGTGAAACCCCTTTAAATATGTCACGTATTGTGACGTCTTTATCCATCCATCTAGGACTCCTTGAGGAACAATTTTCTCTGATCATTTAATCAACCGGTGATCTAATAATCTGAGATTATCAAACACACTAGTTGTTGTGACCTTATGCTTTTAGCATTGAGACATTTTTGTACCATTCATTTTTTTGTTACACAAACGATATTCTTTTTGCTTTGAGTTATCATAGCAGTGTTTCCCTCCGTTTGACCCGCGGTGCTGAATACGTATCCGGGGCCGTTTGTATTCATGTAGCATTAGTCCTGTGCAGCAAATGCATAGTGTTGCTCTCATGTCCACGCACCTGGCTCTAAACACGTGCCTGGATGCACACACTCACGCCGCTCCAATGGCCGCAAAGCAGTGTGGCACATATGTGTACACGTGTGTGGTCACTTCTACAAACTAGTCAAATATTGATCACAGTGTTCGATGAGACTGTCTGCGCTGGTCGCGGAGGGGGAGATGACTCGCGCTGGCCCAGCCCGCCTTGGCGAATCAATTGAATACAGCATTTCAGAAATAAGTAAGACAATGTTATATGGTGGCTCGAATAAACTGCACATGTATGGGCTGAGACTCGGCTGCAACTCAAGCAGCAGCGGATACGAGACGAGTTTTGTGAACAGCAACCAGTTGGGATCAAGTGAAACTGGGGTGCGCGTACTTTGATGTCTGCGCCTCCGAAGGGGCGTGGGAATATTCTCCACAGGCACGAGGCAGAGATGCTCCACGGGGAGATATCACAGGGTTGCTTAATTGAACCTTTCTATTTATGGCACCGTCCTCACCTCTCTGGATTCACTGAACAGCGAAACAAGCGTGCTTTTTTTCCCAGGAGGAACAAGAGACAAGGAGGGATTGGTTACACAGAAAATACCCAGCTCCTCTGTGCCTATTGTATTATTCAGAGATGTAAAAAAAAAAACTTTATGCGGGCATTACACCAAGATTGTAGAGAGAAAAAACATGCCCCATGAGGACGGCAAGGGAGATTAAGAAAAGAAAAGAAAAAGTATCCAGATGTGTCCAACCGAGAAGGACAACACAGAAGAGGGAAACAGAGCCGTGTAATTCAGGCCGTATGTAGGTCACAGAGAACCTGCATGGTTTAAAAGCTAATAATCTAACATTTACCTCTCAAACAGACCCGGTCGTGGCTCTCGTGTGCCAAAGAGTAACACACAACAAGGGCTCCTTTTATCTCAGATAAAGTCGCATCACATTTTAGCAAATGAGCAAATCAGGGTTTAAACCAAAAAAAAGACTTTAATCCGTATTGAGACTCACTTACCCAAATTGAAATACATTCATGAATAAATACATTTGCTGTCAGCGTCGAGTAAGAACAGTAAAAAAATGACTTTTGAACAACACTTCACATTTGCGAGCTAGCTAAAACGTTTGTTAGCTTCTCTGCTGAGCTAACATGTTAGCCTAACATTTCTCCCTCTTTAAAAAAACTTGTTGACCTCCTTTAACAAGTTGACCAAATAAAAGATAAAAGATGTGTTTCCATCTAAATATTGGTTGTAAAGAGACTCCAATCTCCATTTAAAGCTAGTTTTAAATTTGGTCCAACGTTTAACGGCAGTTGTGTCCCATTTCAGTGTGAGTGACCAACTAAATAATCTGTAGATAAGTCGGCATTGATACGAGAGGTGAAGGCAAGACCTGGGAGGCTATTCAAGGAAGGATGCAGACGGATGAGTATGACCAGAGAAGGACGTGTCAGACGGACCGGAGGTCAGATGGGAAACGCTGCTCTCTTAACACGCGCTCAGCACTTCGCGAGCATGTCCAACCCGACCGTCAGCTGTTTGATGCCCGGTCAGAAAAAGACGCAGCAGTTGCTGAACGGATCGCTCAAATATATTGGATGTCACTACCGCTGTTACTGGAATTGGGAGGTGAACGTCAAAAAGCGATGATTGAGGAAATTCTGATGCTTTGAACAATTTCAGTCTGCGGTTTGTCCAAAATCCAAAGTAAATCTTTTTATCATCAGAGAATAAATACTCACATAGGAGACACTGGTTCAAGCACATATTGACATTATATTGCTTTCCAATACCTCCTCCTTTCTGCCTTTGTTTGGCAAAAATATGTAAAGTCTTCATCTTTCTGCTTTTGGCACTGGAGATTGTGAAACTGAAATCAGTGAAAAGTTGACAACATTAACAGAGATGTTGGCACCTTCAACATTTACATTTGGTTGCCGGCTTTAAGTGTTTCTGTCTAGAGTTAACGGACCCATCGTAGTTGCGTAAATCACGACGTACATCTAATCCAAAGGACCAGATCTGTGGATCGTTTCATCCTCCTTGTTCAGTCACAAGTCCTAAAGGATCGGTTCTTTGTGAGCCAGGGCTTGTGTTCATGCGTTTTCCTGGACAGCTGTATCCACGGCAGACCCTCTCCAGCTTTTTACGTCTACGTCAAGCTCACTTAGGCGCGTAATCTGCACTAATACTCTCAGCATTAAGGAGGAGCACATGGGGGGATGGAGAGGGGCTGAACTCCATTAGCTCTGTCAGACAAGACAATCTTGAGCGCCCCATTTAATGGAAAGTCATAGAGCTAAATGAATCACCTGGCATAATTTATCGACAACTTTGGATTCTATTTCGACGAGGCTCATTCTGGTACCCTCTGCATACATGGCCTAGTTAGATTCGGCATTGAGTTACACAGTACACGCTGTGTATTTGGAGCTCCTAACCAGAAGGAAGCAGGGACATGCCGCGCATACACAGCTTTTGTCACAAACATAAGCGCGTTTCCATAAATGCGTGGATGGCTTTAGTTTGACTGACGAGGATTCTTATTGAAGCCTCTGATACTTTTTTTCCAACAGACCCGTTCAGTTAGTGTGTGTACGAGGATGTAGCTGCAGTAGAGCTTTGTATCTGACAACCTCAGAGTCAGTGCTCCTCTGCAATTCTTTTGTTGAAGTTCTCAGTGACAAAACATTACTTTTTCCTTCTAGCTTGTCTGGAACTTTTTTCATTTCCCTTTTTGGTGCGGTACAGCTAAACATTTCCCACCTGGGAACAAACTCTGTAGTCTCTGCTGCTGAAGCGCAGAGTGAAATAAATTGCATCCCGAGATCGAATCAAATATTGAAATAGGCAAATCAGAAGATATGAAGATTTATTGTTGTCCTATTGAACTGTTGAGCGTTGTTTAAGTAGTTTGGAATGACACTGCAGGCGGAACCATTAGTTTTCATACTCATTAACTCCTGAGATGTGGTTGTGTTTTAGTGTCCAGTGTAGGTGTGACCTACTTTTGACCTCAATGCTACTCGTTAATGTCGGGGGCGGCTAAAAACAAGCTGTCGTCTTGTCATGATCTCCAGAAAGGCTGCAGGCTAATCAGCTTACCCGTCTGCTGTGTGGGTCCAGAGGACAGTTGGTGAAGGACAGGCACGCCTCGTTTGAGCTGTTTTTTATGAATGAGAGGCCCAGTTCCAAACACTAATTAGAGGACAACCACAGCTAAACGCTGTCCACGGCATTCACGGCCCCTTTGTGGTCATTTTAGTGTCTCCTTTACTGGTCGATATGCATTTATTGGGACAGTGGTGGTTTTTGTCCTGTTTTAATCATAGTTTGTCTCACTATGATCATTGTTTTCTGGTTATTTTGCATTATTTGTATGGTTGTTATTGTCTCTTTGTTAGTGTTTAGGCTGTTTTTTGTCACTCTGCTCACTCTATGTGGTTGCTTTTTTTCTCTCTGTCGTCATTTGTTTGTTCCATTGTGGTAATTTTTTTGTTTTGCCGTCCTTTTTTGTCTTACCCTGGTCATTTTCCCACCTACGTGTTATAGTCCGTTCCTACACAACAGACTAAGGTGCATCACGTCTGAAGCACCCTTCCTCCTGTGAGCCAGATGTGCATTACAGGACACATAAATCATTTTATTATCAACTTTTAAAGATTAAGCGGGTGCTTGACAGCAGGAAGGATTGCAGGCGTTGCCATAGATTTTCAGTCATGAAAATCTGCACATGTGACCCTGCATTCGAGAGCCAGACCATCATCATACGTCTCTGGGAGTGTCTGAGCACGTTAACATGCACGTTGAAGTGACTCCCAGCGCTGCCCACCACATACCCACGCAGATCTTTTGTACAGTTAGTCCCACATGGGCAACAGCATGAGGCTCAGAGAGAGAGGCACATATATATAGAGAGAGAGACACATTTATATAGAGAGAGAGACACATAGAGACACACATATATATATATAGAGAGAGAGAGACACATAGAGACACATATATAGAGAGAGAGACAGACAGGGGGCTCGTCAGGCGTTTGAACTACTGGCATGGTGAGCTTGCCCTGAAAAGGGCACATGCCTCGCTGCACAATTATGCACTGTGCGTGGAAACAGCATCCCCGCCCTCAACACACGCACAATGGTTTGACCAACACAACTAAAAATGGAGGCTGGACGCTATCGGCACATGGCCAAAGAGTATTACCATGTTCAAATCGCTGCCCCAACAAGGCCTTGATATTTATCTCCTTTAAAGTATATTTGTGAAATGATTGGGTCAAGCGGATGTCTGCTGGTCATCGGCGCATCATGGATGCTCATGCTCCACGGGGTCTCACATTGCACTGTTTCCTCTCTCTCCTTTTTGCAGGCTACTTCAGCACATTGGCAGTGGTGTTAAAGACAAACAACGAATCGCCATGGACCAACGAGTTTGACAGTAAGAGCTAATGATCAAATACCCACACAATAAATTAATTCACTTCATGCCATTAATCCACATCCTGCTTCTTTTTAAGAAATCGAGTTATCCTGTTTGATTGAGTCCATTTCCACAACCAACCCCAGGATCGAATGGAAGAAGATAACAAATGAGGGTCCGAGTTACGTGTACTTTGACGGGCACATCTCAGGTGAAATGCACAAAAAAGACTCTTTTATTTCCTACACGTACATTAATCCGAGTCGATGTTGTTGACCGGGCTTTTCCCTCTGACAGGAGACCTTGAAAACAGAGCGTTGATCCGAGAACCGGCCACGCTACTGATTACCAACGCCACAAGGTCGGACACAGCCAAGTACCGCTGCGAGGTCACCGCCGCCGACGACCAGAAGTCAGTAGATGAGATCGTGATCGACCTCGTTGTGAGAGGTACGCCAACTTAACCTGCATGCTCAGCAGATACGCCAGGGGCATTCAATTAGAGTTTCAAAAGGTCCACATAGAGAGAATCTCTTTGCTCAAAGGTCCAGAACATTAAAATAATATGTATAATAATATATAATATGTTACACTAGTAGCCTAGTATTATTTTTTCAAATTCATAAAAAAAAAGAAAAGTAGTTTTCTCTTCTTTTTTTTTACACATCATAAGAGGGTCTGTCTACGTTATAATTAACAATGTCTACACATCCTAACAATTGAACAGCTTTAACGCTACACAACGTTTTCTACGCTCATTTCAGAGGCTTTTTTTATATGAGGTTAAACACTTTCGCTTGGTCTCAACGTTATTACATTGGTGCTTTTAATTACGGCCCCAGCGCCTGAACATATGCGACAAAGTGGTTTTGCAGCAGGTAGAATGAACGTAAAAAGGCTCTGTTCTCGTAGGCCACTTCTCTCTTTTTAGGAACGCCATGTCAAATAATGTGACGGGGTCTGGGTCGGTATTCGTACGGCGCTCCGCCTACTAGCGAGGCCTGCTAAACGCCATGTGGAGTCCAAGGTGTGACACGTGAAAATAGAATTCTTCCAAATGCAGCGAAACGAGCCGTTCTGGTGCCCTTAAAAAGAGGGACCTCGTGAAGTGATTCACCCCTCTGATGCTGTAAGATGAAACCGTGTTGTAGGTCGCACCAGCCCTTTGGCATACACGCGAGGATGTGTTGTGACCAGACCTGCCCAGCTGCAAAGGCGTGTTCTGAGCTATAAGGGGAAACCTCTGAAACTGCATCCGCTCCGAATTGCAGTGCTAAAGAAAGCAAGCGCCGCGTGTTTTGGAGGCATTTTTTGGCACAGGCTTTTAAAAAATGGTCTTGTCAGTGCTGTCGGTCCAGTGGCCCACGCGGGGTCAGGGTGACTTTGATGCTTTTTAAGACAAACTAAATCAATCAGCGAGCATCATGTTTGCCATGTGATGCTCTTCTGAAGTGTAAAAGCTTCACGTCTTATTCCTCCACAGTGAAGCCGGTGGTGCCGAAATGCAGCGTCCCAAAGTCGGTGCCTTTTGGGAAGTCGGCCGAGCTGAGCTGCATGGAGGAGGAGGGCTTCCCCAAGTCCCAGTACCAGTGGTTCAAGAACAAGGAGGAGATTCCTGACGACCCAAAGTCCAGCATCAAATTCTTCAACTCCTCGTACACGCTCAACGCAGACTCAGGGACTCTGGTCAGTACCCACGCACGCATGTGGGTTTTCACACAAGGGCATTGCAAGGATAGGGCAGCAGCGCGAGGGCTCTGACGCCCATGGGCGGGGGGAGATATTTTGGGGGGACAGTTGATGGTGCAAAAGGAGCTTTAAGCCACGCGGGGAGCCTACTGTCCTCGCTTGCACATTCCTCATCTGTGGATGGGCTGGGTGGCTCGCCCCAAAGAGGTGACGCGCTGAAGCCTGCTACGTGTAAGCTGTGAACTCCCGTTAGTTGCTGCTTCGCTTATCTTGGTATTTTGAAAGTGGTGACAGAAACACTGTTGTCCCACTTCTGGCCCTCCTTCCTACTACATACGAGGACCGACAGATAAATCTGTTATTATTTCATAATACATTACACTATTGGACCAGGACTGTCTTTTGGGGAATCCTGAAGAAATCCTTCTAATTAGTAAAAGACAGTAAAAAAATGTTACTTTCTGGACCTAAAAGAAGAGAAACTGGGACAAACAAAACCTGCGTCTGAAGTAGGCCTGCTGCTTAAAGTGGCCATGGTGGTGCTCCAGATCAACGTGATCTCCAAAACCTGTTCGTAAAAATGTATACGAAAATCTTGAACATACAAATTCGTAACAATACATACGAACTGGCGGGGGTTAACCACGCCCCTTGAGTGAACAACATGGCGGACCATGTCGGATTCTTGAGTGAACGTCTCTCCACCATGTTGGATTTTTTGAGGGGGTTAGGGTTAGTATTCTATTCTTACAAGTTAACATTGATTTCTCGTTAAAAATGCAATCATAACACGGTTATTTTACATCGTTAGACTTCACGAAGTGTGTTTACGGGGTGCAGGTCCCCATTCACTTTGAATAGCGTGACGTCATCAGTTGCAGTCTGTATTTATTTAGTATGTATCATTACGAATTTGTATGTTCAAGATTTTCGTATACATTTTTACGAACAGGTTTTGGAGATCAGGCTGTCCAGATGGGGCCGTAATAGAGTCCAGATATACAGCTATTTTGTGAGCGGTTGGGTCGACAACTTTGAAACCAAACGCCATCTTGTTTCTGCTCTCCCCGTGTCCCTGTGGCAAACGTGTGCTTTTTGTCTTTTTCATTGTTTTTATGGACCAATGTTTGCAGTCTTCTTTGGTGTGTTGCTCTAAAGACTAATGGAACCACATCCTCTCTCCCATCTTGGAGTCTCAGAGGATTTCATCTGTACTAAAGAGTTGACTCATTGCATCACTCTGTTATCAGAATCAGACAGCGGTGCAGTGATGTGTTTTATCTATTCTACTCTAAAGACCCATACGTACAAATCCAAATGGTTGATCCTAATCCAATATGACTAAACTTCCAGCATGAGCATCAGGGGTTTACATCAATCCTGATTATATGTGTGATTTCTCCAATGCAGAAGTTCATCGCAGTCAGAAAAGAAGATGCAGGCGAGTACTCGTGCCGAGCGAAGAACGATGCAGGGTACTCTGAGTGTCCGCCGCAGCAGATGGAAGTCTGTAAGTGTGTCTCGAATTCATTGTTAAAATGTATGTAATAAAAGGCAGGTCTATTCTGAAGACACTGATAATGTGTGACAGGCCTCACTCCACTGTGTCACCATGCCTTTTAAGATGAGACTAACCCAATGTATTCATCTCTGCTTTCTGACTTGACCTCCGCAGACGATATCGATGTTGTGGGGATTATACTGGGAGTGCTGGTGGTGGTCGTGGTGCTCGTATGTATGACCGCAGGGATCTGCTGTGCGTACAAGCGAGGCTACTTCTCGAGCCAGAAACCGACGGGAAACAAGTGAGACAGATGTTCCCCCATTGATCCATACATCCACGCGTCACTCTCCGAGCAGCACTGATCCAACCTGTCCACCTGCTTTGTGTCTTCTAGTTACAAAGTTCCAGCTAAAGGAGATGGAGTGGACTACGTCAGGACAGAGGATGAGGTTTGTACTGAACAGAATTTGCACATACCAAAACTAGGTAGACACTTCATATCATGGGGTATAATAATTAGTAGATATCACCGTGTAAACTGCTATAATTTATATTTATACAAGTAATTCAATTTGGCAGTATGAAAATGTGCTAATTTGAACACATTTCCAGAACAGAAATCTGAAGAATTTGTCAACATATTTGAGTCAAATGTTTTTACAAAGGGAATCTGGGGTTTTGTGGAAACTCGCTCCATAAATTTTCAAGTAGTGAGATGTTCTAAAGATCTGGCTGTGAATAACCATTCAGAAAATAGATGGAAAGGAAAACCGTAGAGTTTGTGTCATCATTCTTAGAAAACAGCCTTTATAAATATGTCTCGTATAATTTATATAGAGGGCACTATGGGAGAACAGGGTAAACAAGACAACTTATAGATATCAACATGAGACCTCTCTAGATGATAACTGACATTAAGTTGTTATTGCTATGTTGAGGTATATAATAATGAGGCATACTCTCATGGAAACCTCTGGTGAATCTTGGCGAAATCAATAGACGCAAATAGACAAAAATAAATATTGGATATTGGATGTTTTCTTTGCACAGTCTGAATGAAGCTAAAAGCACAACGGTGTGACATTGATTGAGAAACAGTTCTGAACCTCCATCTTCTGGCTGTGTTTCCCGCAGGGAGATTTCCGACACAAGTCGTCATTTGTGATCTGAGGAGGGACGGACGAGGGGTCTCTGTGCAGAGCGGGGGGACGTGGCCTGTGGGGACCCTGCGAGGAGCCGCCACAGTCCACACGCCCTGAGCCCTCGACGCGACCCAAAATCTCAAGTTTGCCAAAGGTGATGGGATTTCATGGAACTTTAGACTACACAACGTAGGAGACTGAGACCGTCGACTCTTTACTGCCACCAACCCAATTCTTTTGCTCAATTATGGAGTTCTTGCTTTACAGCTGTTGCATGGTTTGAAAAACACAGAACGAGGTGGAGGAAGCGATTCTTTGTTCTGCCAGGTAGAAAAGGAGGAGCGTCTTCCCTCCCGAGTCAATCCATCATCACACCTTTCTACTTTTGCTTCGAAGCCCTCTCGTCATTTGTATAACCTTTCTTTTTCTACTATTGAAATTTGTCAGACTATTTTTGATGGAATATATTTTAAAAATGCCTATAGATAAAGGTTTACTTTTTTAAATATTTGTAAAATACTAACATGTATTATTAGTTTTTTTTTGTTTTTTTGTTTTTGGTCGTGGATGAAACAAGTATGTAACACTTTAACCACATCAGACTGGACAAAAAAGACTTGAATCTGCATATCGCGATGGCGTTCTCGATCAGCGGTCTTACATATTTAATTTCCCGCCCGCTTTTTGACTCCTCCATGTTCATGTTTGTAGATAGTCTTAGTAAGAGGCTTTGAAGTGTGCCAGTCCAATGCTGTGAAACACTGCACACAATCAGTGCTGCATTTTCTTGATTTTAAGTGTCCTTCTATGCTTGCTGTTGATCTTGTATATATTGAATTTACTGTCCAGGTTTTGTTGTCATGTGTTTGTCAGTATTACACCATAATAATTATGTTAATAATAATAATACAGGGTTTGTCGCTTAACCTTCCAGACCCCAAAGAAAGGAAGTTCTAATACTAGATGTGCTACTGTGATGTTTTACTGGGTGAAATCCCTCGATTTGATTTCTGAATGGAAACAAATTGGACCAAGGACAGAGACTTTATTTTGATGACAGTTTAAGTTGCATTCAGTCAACGCACCAAGAACATCAGTGGAAATGTGACTGTACCGTGCATTCACAGACTGCTGCGTCAGGTGCCCAATCTGACCGTGTCCAATCGGTTTCAAAGCGTTTTTTTTTTTTTCTAATATTTGTGCAAATAGAGAGTAGACCAGATTCTAACAGATGTTGTTTTAGTTGATCTGACCCGCCAGTGATAAACAGCTGGGGTCTGGAGGGTTAATAGTTGTACTGATTGTATATAGAGATTTCTCTTTCCCTCTGACAATTCTAAATGTCCTATTTGAGGCAATATGAAACTCTTCCATGTGTAAGGTAACATAAAAGGTAACATTTTATCATATCATGCATAGCACATATATGGAAGCATAAGAGGCAAGTGAGAATCATTTTTTATCATTTGTTAGTTACTTTGGTTTAACAGAAGAAGAAAAAATGCTTGGTTTAAAAAAAATAGAAGAATAGAATAGTTTTCACTGAAAAAACCTAGAAAAGGGACCCTGGCAGAACCTTTTTTTTGTCTATTCTTCAGTCATTAACAGAGGTGAGAAACCAATTTACATGACTACGACTATACTATAAAATGGATTCCCAGAATTATTATTTTCTCACTGGCCCCACAAGGCTTCCATACATGAACAAGAGCTTCTGTTCCGCCTTGATTCGACCCTTGTGGCCATATTCTTGTTGTAATTCTTGAAGGCTTCAACAGAAATCAAACAAACAAACCTGATTTGTTTTAGACTTCCATGCAGCTCACTGACCACTTGTTCAGCTGTTATGAAGTAAGAACTGTGGTAAAATGTTAACCGAGTACCAGTCATGGGAGGGACGATCTGCCCAACATTTGCATAGAGGAAGAAGAGCCACTGCTTTTTCCGAGTTGCATTAATGAATCCATTTACGGTTACATTACTGCTCATGGTTACAAGTCACGTAGCGCGCCGGCGCATACGTTTCCCCACCTCCAGTTTTTCGTTCCAAATTTCGTTCCTCTTAAGTGCCTTCTGCCGGACGAGTAGTACGATTTCTCCACAGCGGTGCTCCACCTCCCCCCCGCCCCCTTCCCGTGTGAGTGGCTATATGATGCTGTCAGAAGCGCCATGTTTTACATCCATTGAACCACCAGCGCGGCGTTTGAGAGGAATGATGACACCGTAAATTTCCCCCCTCCTATCTTTTACATATGTATCTGAAAATGTGTAAATAGCCTTTTTTTTATAGATTTGAAGGACATGTTGAAGTAGAAATAGAAATATATTAGTGCCTAAATATAGTGGGATTATTTTTGGTAGAGACACACAGCACTATTAGGCAAAAAGAAAAATTGGACACCCATTGGCATGCGAGTTCCGGGTTCTAACGCGTTTTAAAGACTCACTGTGACTCATTGCTTGCAGCAATGAACACGATGTCCAAACTGAGTATTCACTCAGTATTCATGAAAAGTGCCATGCAGCCGCAACGGAGCTCTCATTATTCCGCTGGTTGGGAGCATTTTTACATAAAGCCGAGCTCAAGCAAAGCGTAGGCCGCAACAACTAACAGGACTTGCAGCTTCACGTAGGCGCACATCCACCCCACAGGCGGCCCCTCAAACAGGGCAAGGACGGGAACTACGTCGACGTGATGGAGAGAGACTGCTCACAGTCTGTGTGTCAAACCGAGTTCTCTCACAGTGTTTGAACTCCAAGATGGCAGCGTTCCACTGATCCAACACTGGGGAAACTGTAATCAACTGAGGACTTGGTACAACGTGCAAGAAGGCGGGATGCTCTGAACCAAGCTCACATAGAGTAGAATGTCCATCTGGGGCCTGCTGAGGGGTTGTTTGTGTTCTTTTCAGAACCACTTTATTTGTGATTAATAAAAACTCACTTCTAACATTACTGGAATCGTTATTTGTGTTGCTTTTGTTTGAGACTGTCATTTTGCAATTTCTCCTCCGATCCCTTTAGATGTCCCGCGCCATCCACGGAAATCCTATTGAAAATGAAAATCCATGAAATGTGTTCCCCGGCAGCATCTTTTTGATCTACAGCAGTGGATCTATCATTGAGAATGAAGCCATTGGTCTTGAACATTAAAAAAATACAGCAATGTATTCAAAATAAAAATGTGTGAAATAAGTGTTTTGATGAGTTGAATATAGTTTTGACTCAATTCTATAATTTATATCTTTTTTTTTCCTTCTTCACATTTTTTGATATTCGTTTAATTATATTTTTCAGTGTTTTTCAGATTCAAATCTTTCTTTCACTTTCGGATAGTTTTTTTCACATTCAGACTTATATATATATATATATATATATATATATTGTGTGTATATATATATATATTGTATATATATATATATTTTTTTTATATATATATTAGTGCTGTCAAACGATTAAAGTATTTAATTACAATTAACCACATGTCATAGTTACCTCAAAATTAATCACAATCGCACATTTTTATCTATTCTAAATGTCCCTTCATTTAGTATTTTAATGCTCTTATCAACAAGGAAAAGTTGATTGGCTTGCTTTATGCAAATGTTTTATTTTATTGAAAAACAACATTGCCAAACAGGGCGGTACAAAATAAAATTATAAAGTGCACATTTCAGGTAAACAAGGACCTATAGTGCAGTTAAACCATGGCTAAATATTTGCCTATTGACATTTTCAACAGTGAAGCTTGCTTCTTTTGCACAACATGCCCAGACACCGCAAACAACCTTCCAGAAGGTACTAATGTTGCCGATGCTGCTAATTACTTGCATGTGTGTGCCCCTTCATGCAGTGCTGTAGTTGTAAAATTAGAGGTAAACTATACATTTTGTGATCATACAGACGCGATGGAACGCTATGTTCTATGCTACGCTCTATTAGGACCTTAAAAAAATGAAGGCCTCTTGAAACAGGCCCAGAGTGTTACAGCTGAACCGTGTGATATGTGAAGAAAAAGCCATCCTGCAAGTTAACACTTCCCCTGCTCCTTAACCATTAAGAGAAAGCTCCAAAAGTCAACGTAACGAATGAATCCATCTGAACAGGCGGGCTGATCCACAACGTGTGTTTACATGCTGACTGGTGGAGCCGCCGCAGGGCGCTGATAGGAGGGTCACAGACCAGAAAATGATCAGACTACAGCGTTTATATGTTCAACAATATGAAACGTAGTCTTAGGTGATTTAAAATGACACCAAATTTATTTTGGGTTATTCCAACGAAAGAATATAAGGCGCAGGTGACTTCAAGGTGCGTAAACAATGTTTACGTGCGTTTACCCTCCACTATGATATTTTATTCACAAAAAATAAAGAACTGGGTCAAAACGGTATTCAAACCAAAAGTACTTTTCGTCCACATACTTTTATTTTGAATACATTCTTGTTGTTAAATTTTCTCATTGTTCAAGAGCGAAACTTAAATCTTGAGGTTCAAATTTGATTTTCAAATGATCAAAACATTTGGCCTGGATTTGGCTCCGTAAAAAAGCATTAGAATCAATGAGCTCAGCGGGGTGATATACTGCAGTTAGCAGCGGAGCCAGCGGACCCTTTTACTTAATTGGCGGAAAATCCATCTGAACTTGGGCCAACGTGGGAGGAAGAAAAAACACCTTTTTGATAGTAGATCTGAGGAATCCTCCCAGATTATTGAATGGAGGGTATTGATTTGAACGGGCCGGTGACTCTCTCTAGCTGCACACTCAACCTCTGAAAGTTATGCAGCATTTGTGTCCTCAGTTAGGAGCCCGGCCCCCTACTGCCGTACAGTCCACTTCACCGCTTCAGTCACTTCCAGAGCACTTACTTCTTTTATGCCATACTCTCAACAGCATGTAAGAAACAACTCGGTCGCTTTTATAAGAAAGACAGAGTAACCTTCATGTTACCCATTGTTTTTTTTGTTAACTTACTAAATGAACATATATGCTGTATTGAAGAAGACTTGGAACTAGAGATAAAGATCATAAACTGTTTACAATGTTTGCTAAGGTCATAAATCGAGAGTAGAGTCTTGGTCTCATAGATTTCTGTACAACCAGAAGAGTCGTCCCCTGCTGGACATTAGCAAGAATGCAGCTTTGCCTTCACTTTTTAGGTTGCAGCCTTGCAAAAAAACGGAATTAAGCCCATTTTTTTTTACAAATCTCTTACTAAGAAAACTCTGCAGGGTGCCTTTTAATCCTGATATGTTAATACTAAGGATTAATTTTGCTTGGAATTCCATCTTTCTGGATGCAGGGGACAAAATCAAAAAACATTTTCACGTAGCTCGAGGTTTTTTTTCAACCATAGACACTAAATTATTTCATATACATGATGTATATGTACAAGAAACAATTGTTCCCATCTCGACTCAAACAAGGATTTTGCAGTTGACTTAAAAAAGAAAGGTTTCAATCGTAAATTCAGACAGCTGTAGTGAAGGACTATAATGCTATACATTTCATAATAGCTATCATTGTTATGATACCGAGAAAAAGAAAATGAATATATCACTGATGTCTACAGTAGACATTTATTTGACAGTGCTGTAGCCATGTGTAAAGAGGTTATTCCTTCTGTTTTTACTTCAGTATTGTGTCTTCAGATATCAAAGGTCTTGTTGATACTGCTACAGGCTCTTTGGGAGTGATGCTGGAATATATTGCTCTTGTCTCTAGAAGGCAGTTGGCTCCTTGGTAGAACCCTCAAACCCGCAACTTAAGGCAAACAGCGCAAAAACTATAATAATCTAGGTTAGTTTAGCAAGGCAGTCTTGAAGCCAATAAGAAAGCCCTCTGTTACACCAGAGTGACTTATTACTCGTCATTAATATAGAAAAATAAAAAGCAACCCAAGGTTTCTCTTTATCACTGTGACCAGGCGGACAGAGAGTCACAGCTCTGTTGAGCCGTGTATTCCTTTAGACCTCAGTAGTAACGACTTATTAAACTTCTTTAATGATAAGATTTGAACTAGAGAGAAGATTGATAGTCTCCTGCCTTCATCCAGTGCCGATCCATCCTTGGTCACAAGAACTTTGACAGACCTATCTCTAGTCTATCCTTCCTCTCTAAGAGGAGAGCAGTTGCAAATCAGTTGCAATGGTTTATTCAAGGGTTTTCAGTCAGGATTTAGAGTGCATCATAGCACAGAGACAGCGCTGGTGAAAATTGATACACCTTCTACTTGCATCCGACTGAGGATTTGTCTCTGTTCTTGTCTTGTTCGACCTCAGTGCTGCGTTTGACACCATTGATCATTTTATTCTATTGCGGAGACTAGAAGATTTAATTGGCATTAAAGGAACCGCACTCAGCTGTATTTATCGGATCGATCTATCTGGACGCTGGTCCTTCCTCCTGCCATGGAGCTGCTGACTCCTGCTGCTGCTATCATTATTATTATTATGAATCACATCAGTATTACTGTCATCATGAAACCACATTCCTAACTGCTTCTTTCTTTCTTCTTCTCTTTGTGCTTTCCATTCCCACAGGTTTGAGTGGGTGGTGGTTATATCTGATGGTGGTTGTTCCTGCAGTGGTCCTGAGTTACAACTGGTCACTTCACATATTTATTTCTTTTCATTTTGGTGGAGTTTTTCCTGTGCCGATGTAAGGGTTTCAGGACAGAGGATGTCGCATGTGTATAGAATGTAGGCAAATTTATCATTTGTGATTTGGGGCCATACAAAATAAAATAAATTAAATTGAATTGTTGTGATTTGCCATTTTCTCATATTTTCTGGCATTGTTGCAAGACACACTGGACTGTCTCCTCATGTCTGAAAAAGCCAGAAAAGCAGGTCACAAGGACCAGCAGGATGCCAAGGAAGCACCTGCTAATTGGTTAGCCAAATTCTAATTTCAGTACACATTATAGACCCGTTCCAGTTGCTGTCGATGGCTGCTGTAAACAAACAAGCAGTAGCCAGAGAGGGAAGCAAATCGTACTCGACAGAAGGATGGGGGCTATTTGGAAAAATATCACAGCATGACTGTGATGAGGTGACATTTTGACAAGATATTTGTCCACATCAGAGCAAAGATCCAGCTGCTACTAACCTCACAGCACCAATATTTGGTCTCGAGCAATAAGGGCCTTGTTAAAAGTTTGCAGTCATTCGTCCAAACATGGAGAGGAGTTGTTAGAATTTCCCCAACAGATGTCCCAGCTGCCTGATTACTAACAACTTTAGATGTGATTTTTATTTTTTTATTCACTGTCCTCGTTATGAAGGAAACGGAGCATCTCGATCTTCACAAAATAAAAGCCCTTGGGGATGTAAATGAACTGTTGTCAAAGGAGGATCTATCCAATAATTTTTCAGAAATCACCAGAACTAATTGCGCAGTCAAGAGAATCTGTTCCCAAAGGATTCTTGTAATATGATGAAGTAACACACTACATAATAAAAGGTTTCTTCCTCTTCCTCATACCTGACAGGTATGTCCCAACAACCACTAAGAAATGTGGTGTTTGCCAAAAAGATTAGGATGTTCTGCTGCACCTGATCACATGTCCTGGTATGCTCGTCTGCATGTCTTTCTGGCAGAAAAGGGCAAAAGGGTCAAAGTTCAAAGTGCCACATTATGAGAAAGTAGTACGACCCAAGTGCATACACACTGTATGGAACGGTGCATACCTTATAGGAACAGCTACAGTGTGTACTAAGAGTAAAAAGAAAAAGTAAGCGTTTTGAAACGCATCTTAAATTTCTGATCTGAAGGCTAAGATAGTAAATTAATAATCCTGGAAACAGGACTTTAGTTGGATGGAGTTGGATGCTCCAACTATGTATGGTAACGTTTGCTACATGTTTGAGCGCAAGTTGAAGGAACAAATTACAATTAACTGGAGTTGTTATTTGATAACTGCTAATATATGAAACTAATTCTATGTTGCCATTAAAATTGAGGCAGTTGAGGGCAACTCGATTTCTGTGGAAAAAAAGCAGTGACATTGAACAGTGATGCCTTTGACTGACTAATTTATGGCATATTTGGTGCAAACGAACTATTTAGCAAAAACTTGGTATGGAAATGTTAAAATACCAAACAATGGCATAGAATATCAGGAATGCCACTGTGGCGTTAACTAAAGAGAGTAAATCCGCCTCCTGTTGCTGTTAAACTGCGCCCTCTAGCGGAGCGGTGCTGCCATCACAGGACTTCAGAGGGAAAGCCCGAGTCTCTTCCGCCTGTTGCTACTGCGCCGTAAATGTGCATGATACATTTTAGAAAAAGTTAGTAAGTAAGTTAAAAGGCTATATTCAACAATTGCCTGTTTAGATACTATAACACCGACAGTATAGTTCGTATCAAACATAATAACAAAAGAAGAAAAAAACGTTTAACAAATACAGCCTTCCTTCACGTCACTGGCCGCGCATGCGCATTCAACCGGTTGTAACTCGGTATATTCAATAATCCAAGAAGCGGTTTATGCGCTGGACGGCTCACAGCCCAACGAGGAGAAACTGCAGGCTGTGCCGTTTTACAGAACCAGGAGGGGGGTTGTTTCTCACTAAGAGCCATTGACAGCTCGACTGACCCGCAGCGATGAGCTTCTTCGGTTTTGGTCAAAGTGCGGACATCGACATAGTTCTTAATGACGCCGAAACGAGAAAGAAAGCTGAGCATAAAAGCGAAGACGGCAGGAAGGACAAGTATTTTCTCTTCTACGACGGGGAGACGGTGTCGGGGAAAGTCAACGTGACGCTCAAGTACCCGGGGAAGAGGTTCGAGCACAGCGGCCTCAAGGTGGAGTTTATCGGGCAGATAGGTGAGCGGAGCGAAAGACTTGGGCAGCTAACGTTAGCCGCTCAGCGTAACGCGTAACGTTACTTTATTCTATGTTTGTGAAACGAGCAGCGCGCGAACCACTCCTACGTCACAGCAGCCCACGGACGTAACAAGTGTTTGGGAAGCGCCGGATCTCGTGACAGATGTGGTGCAGGCTAATGTCAGCTGACACATCGGCCATTGGCTGGCTTGTTGACCTTTGACCCTTGTATATTTCTGTATTTAGAACACGCAGCTGCCCTGTTAGGTTTCTCACAATAGTTACTCGTTTTCAACGGATTCACATGTTTCTTCTTCCCCTTTTATTCAGATAAAAAGTGTATTTTTTTCCCTCCATGATGTTGATCTGACAACTATGGCTACTTTGCACGTTGATCTTTTACCGACAAAACACACCTTTATGTATGTATGACATTTTGATTGCAGAACTTTGGGTGATGTTTTAGTGTCTTCGCAGTGTTCTGTTGCTATAAACCTCTGAAGTAAAATCATTAGATTTCAATGCTTGACAAAGGCAGATATTTAGAGAAATTACCAGCCATTTACTGGTCTTTGCTAGCCGCCCGTGACAAAAACATGAACATAAAGATTTTTGTTTTTCGTAAGGGAGTTCCTCTTACTTTGACTACCAGCACCCACAGGACATGAATTCATATTGACATTTTTATCAGTGCTGCAATTCCTCCCTCCCCTGTATTCTGTCCACCGCCGTTTCTCTCGTAGTCAAGAAGTGCTTTGGATCACAACTTAATGTGTCTCTTCCAGAGCTGTACTACGACCGAGGAAACCACCATGAGTTTGTGTCCCTCGTGAAGGACTTGGCTCGGCCGGGGGAGCTCACACAGTCCCAAACGTTTGATTTTGAGTTCACGCATGTGGAGAAACCCTACGAGTCTTACACCGGCCAGAACGTCAAACTACGGTGAGCTCTGCCCTGCGCATGAATTATTTACAATGTATGGTATACGTGTATGTATTTGCGAAATTCAGCTCATAACAGGGTACAACTTGAATGTTTTTTTGTTTTTTTCCAGCAGTCTTTTAAGATTCTCAATTGATTCACAACTACGTTGTCTTTCTCTAGAACGTACTAGATGTATTTCTCCTACTGGACAGTAATCTGCACCAAGTCAAAGTTATGTCAAGCAGTTCTGAATGATTTGTTGAAAACTCTAATGCAGGATCTAATTTACTGTGTTATTAAGTTTACTAAAATTGGGAATAAAAGACAAATAGAAATACAGCTCCATGAGCCTTTAAATTATATTTGTGCTCTATTTATTTAGTACTTTATTTTTCTATAAACTAAATATTGTTAGCTCTTTGAAGTCACTGATAATTACTAGTTTATATACTACTATGTATATATAAACTGTTGGCACTGAATAAGCTTAGCTACTAAGCTTATTTCCCAGAAAGTTGAAGTAGTCCTCTAATGTGATTCGTGTGTGACTGCCCTGTGAAGTTTGCACCACTGTAAAAAGCAAACAGCTGTTTTGAAGCAACATGGCTCATAGCAAAGAAATAAACTACTAATATTTTAAGGTAATAAGATACTATGCGTTGGATAATGACTAAAGTTTGACTTAAGAAATAAAACTCTTCATAGACAATAGTAGCCAAACAAAAGTATTTTTAGTCGCAATATTAAGTGTTAATGCTGGTCCTTTGTCGGAGGTGGTGGCACCGTCAGAATAACAATTGCTCAGCCATCTTTATGATTATCTAGTTCTGATCATGATAGCAATATTTAAATAGCAACATTGCAAATTATATGAACTGTTTGCTTATATGTATGAAATGTGTTGCCACTGATGGCATTGAGTTGTTTACTGTCTTTTTGCAGCCTTGTTTCATCGCCATGTGACCTTCTTATCTTCCAGCTACTTTTTGAGGGCCACCGTCGGCCGGAGACTGAACGACATCAGCAAGGAGCTGGACATCGTGGTGCACACGCTCAGCACCTACCCGGAGCTCAACTCCTCCATCAAGATGGAAGTGGGGATCGAGGACTGTCTGCATATAGAGTTTGAGTACAATAAATCCAAGTAGGAATGAGTTCCTTGGCACCACTGCTTCATTCCACTGGGTTTGAGAAAGTGTTTTCTTTTGACCCACGACGTTGTTTTTGTTACGCAGGTATCACCTCAAAGACGTGATCGTCGGGAAGATTTACTTCCTTCTGGTGAGGATCAAGATCCGACACATGGAGATCGACATCATCAAGCGGGAGACAACTGGCACGGGGCCCAACGTCTACCACGAGAACGACACCGTGGCGAAGTACGAGATCATGGACGGCGCGCCGGTCAGAGGTAACGGCGAGGCCCCGGTCGCTTGTGAACTGTCTTTTGCGAGTCTGCTTGTCCCACAATGCATCTGTGTCCCTGTCCCGCAGGAGAGTCCATTCCCATCCGGCTGTTTCTAGCAGGCTACGACATGACGCCCACCATGAGGGACGTCAACAAGAAGTTCTCTGTGCGCTACTACCTCAACCTGGTCCTCATCGATGAGGAGGAGAGGCGCTACTTCAAACAGCAGGTGGGGGTGCTGCGCTAACGGCTACGTGTGTGTGTGTGTGTGTGTGTGGGGGGGGGGGCGGGGCCACACAAGGTCCAGCTCTGGTCCTGCTGTTGTTCAGCTTCCCAGGTCTTAATTCTGTTAAGTCATGTTGGCTATTAATATTGTGTCACTCTTGTCTCCCGCAGCTGTATGTTATATTTCACTGATATTATTATTTATCTACACATGGGGAGGAAAATATAAATGCATTGCAAGCTGTTGCTGAATTGAAATATTTCTATTTGCATTTAGAAGGCAGAGGGATGTAGCAAAATCCACATTGAATTGTGGGAAATGTAGCATCATTTCTGTTTCTTTGTCATCCCGACCTTATGGCGAAAATAGTGGAAGTATAAATTTGTTGAATACAGGACTGTTTGTGCTCCCATTTGCATTTAAAAAAGAAGAAGTAGACATTTAGTACAGCTCTATGTGCCATTATGTGAGGCTTTGCTACCTTTCTCTGTTTGACCTCAATGTAAACTAAATGTTGTTGAGTTTTGGACCGTTGACGGGCAAAAAACAAAGATTTAGCTCTGACATATTGTGATGAATTATGTCACATTGTTTCAGTATTTAGAAAACAGTGAATTGAGAAAGTAATCACTACATTGATGATGAAAATAATATTTAGTTCCACTTGAGGGTATTTCTCAAGCTGTATTATGTGATCAGTGGTTATATTTCAAACACACCACCATACAGTACTGTGTATAAAATATAACTTACGTTTGTATCTTAAAGATGTCTAACGCTTTTCATAAGAAAAGATCACTGGAATATAAGCCGTTTTCACTGTAATGAAAACATATTTATCATTATAAAAAGTTGTTGTAATTTGATATTATAGAACTAAGTGTCAAAAACTTTGTTGGTGGGTTTAAAGATCGATTTGTTCCTGAGAAGAACCACACCAGAGCAATTTTATGAAATCGAAAAGGAAATATCAAAATTACTCTATGACGTATTGCAGGAGAAGTCTTCGGCAGGTTACATGTGAGTCGGCGCCGTGGCCTCCTCCACCATGTTGTGTATCATTGGTTTCGTGTGGTGGTGTTGCAGGAGATCACCCTGTGGAGGAAAGGCGACATCGTGAGGAAGAGTATGTCTCACCAGGCCATCATCGCCTCCCAGCGCTTTGAAGGCTCCTCCAATCAGGAGAAGAACCACACCCAGAGCAACGAAGAGGACGACAGCTAAAGCCGCGTGTGTGTGCGTGTGTGTGCGCGTGTGCGCGCGTGTGTGTGTGAGCAAAGGAGCAAACCGTCTGACTCAAACTGTAGTTGCAAGTAATTCTGTTTGTTTCAACCACCTTGAATTACAAGCTGGGTGGAGTTTACCACATTAAGATTGCAAACTGCACAAAATCTTCTTGAAAGTGCTTGATTCAACTTTAATGGCATTTCTTCAGTAGGGTAAACTTCACCCAATATATGCACTTAAATATAATGTACAAATACTGTACATCCAATAGCTTGTTTGTGTGTGTGAGAAGCCACCGTGGGTCCATTTCTAATAACCTTTCCTTCTGACTTCTCCCGCGGCTGCAAGAAAGGTTTCTAAAAACGTGGGTTGATAATAGAACTTACACAATACATTTCCAGTAGACTGTGACGTTCCTTTATTTAACATTCAGTGCCATCCTCTTTGCGTTTGCTTTAAAAAAAAATTAAAAGTAAACCTTAATTGTAAAAACGCTCTGAATGAAAGTAAATGTATTTGTATGAGACAGAGCTAAATTATTTTCATACATTCCAAGGCTCTTGTCAGGAGGCAGTATATCTACAATATTAGCTTTTAACGCTGTCCGGCATGTTTTAACGCCAGTGCCGCACGTTGGAAGCACCAGCGGGTCAGGGGCTCGTGCTGCTGCGGATACCAACGTTCTCTTCCATTGCTTCAGCCGTCTCCCACTGTCAGAAACTCTTTTTGTAGATGCACCATCCATCTCATTTAGCGTTTTGTTATTTTAAAACTGGATTCATGTCATAACATCCACAATGGACAGTATTGCAGAGGCGACATTGGTGCTTGCGAGCGCTGCTTCTTGAAGGGCCAGCTCACCCCAAAATTCAAAGATATATATTTTTCTTACCTTGTGTAGTGCATTTGTTCATTGATAAATATATCAATCTAGATTGTTGTTGACACAGAGTTTAGGATCAGGTGGATTATCTTGAGTAACCGGATCAGTGTCTGAAAAGATAAATACTTTTTGAATCGTTTGGTGGGCATACAGTAATATTATATTGGAGAGTCCGACATCTCTATAACCAATGTCTCCGACACAGAGTGACTCCCACCAAAACAATCCAGATTAATAAATAGATCTAGAAGTAAGAGGAAGTATGCAGTACCATCTTTGATCGTGAACTGTCCCCATGACGATCCTGTTTGGATAGTTCGCTTTGTGCCTAAAAGTTTGTTGCCAAAATGCTTCAGTGGAATTCTAGAGATGAGTTTCCATAGTGGAAACCGTACTGCCGGCCTGCTGGACGAGCTTTCGCTTTGCAGCTACTCAGAAACTGTAGCTGTGTGTCCATGTTGAAGTTTCATGCTTTTGGCGACACAGGACGTCCCTCTTTCAGCAGCTGCTGTCGTGCTGAAGCGGCTTGTCCTCTGTTTGGGTCTCTGCTAGAATGTGTGGACGCCTGACGTGCTGATACGAGCCGAGAAGACACTTTCATTGTGATTCCTATAGCTTGCCCAAGGGGTTCAACTAGAAAAAGAGAACGTGTTATTTGTTTTGGAATCGTTTTTTTCCCTTTGCTAAAAATGACAATACTCACTGCTGAGTCCTTCTTTCCCAGTCCAAATGCAGATATATTTTCAAACATATCAGCTTTGTGTTTTTTGCTGGATAGGAGGGGGTTCAACTTGTGGCAGAGCAGGCTGAAAGTGTCTGAGCATATATTCAGAGATGGGGTTTAACCCCTAATAACTATGAGATCCACATCTACTGACCATCCCGTGCCACTACGGATCAAAAAGACGTGGAAATGAACCCAGCGTTCTGATCCATGGTGCACACAACATTTTAAAGTTTTAAAATCTGAATCTTTTTTTTTTTTTCTTCCTGCTGCCAAAGTGAATCAGCATTTTCATGTTCAATCTTGTCCCCAAATCCTTGGTTTGTTTTTGTGTTTAGACGCCCGAAATAATGTCTACGTTTAACGCGAGCTGAAGAAATTTTAACGTTTCATAAAATGAATTTAAGTGTCTTTAAAAAGGCAGCTCTAAATGAGATAACTAGACGCCATCCTGAGAACACCGGTCCTCTGTGTGAGTGGCGTTGAGGTCATGTGACCGCGCTCCTTTAAAGCCCAACGTCAGCTGTTTACTTGTGGTTTCTGGTTTGATGCAGAGCTGATTTCCTGCATTAATCCAATCCCTTGGCTTTCTGTGGAGGGAACCACTGTGACGCTGACTTCCTGGTTAGTCACCGTTCCTGCTTCTCTCTCATGAGACTGACTGTTGGGTGCAAAAACACAGAAGCCAAACCAGCCCGGTTTGTGCACTGAATTATGAAATGTACAGTGTAAATGCATCCTCCTCAGCTTTTTGTTTGTTTTAATGTCCTGTATGGTCTCTCTGTCTATAAATGTTGATTTTAATCAATTTTATATATTCCTGTTTTACTTTTAATTAAAAGGGAGTAACTGAAAGGCGCTTCTTCTGTCTGTTAATTGTCCTTTTTGTAACACTTCAAGTCAAGACACTAGATGATCTTTCCCCAGGCTCAGCTCTCTCTCTTTCACTAGCATGACATGTATACCATCACCATGTTTGATTTGGGTGCATGTTTTTCCTTCTATAAAACTCAAATTAAAAAATGGCACTCTTCAATACTAACTAGAATGTACAATATTAATTGTGATCATCATTTACAACTAGATGGAGCCATTAAAACCACATTATTGAGAGATTATTGCAGATTATTCCTGATGTTTAGTGCATGCCAGCTCAGTGTCTATGCACTTGAACCACGGTCCTGTAATGAGAAGTAAATCCATAAACTGGTTCTCCGACTCGTGCGTCTGCATGTAGAAATAACCCTGGAATCTGTGGTTGACGGCGTTGAAGAGCTGTTGCATCGCTGTGTGTGTCCTTCTGACAGCAATGGGGACTTTCCCCAGCTGGTCAGAGCTTATTTGTTTGGAGTTGTGAAATAAAAAGTCCCATGATCGCCCTAAATAAAAAGCCTGATTGATGGTCCCGCAGAATAATCTTCCCCGTGCGGAACAGCTGTGGTCACTAGAGGGCAGGTTTGGATCGAATGTATTGCTGAACTTTGGTGAGGAAAGAAATCATCGGGACAACAGATGGAAATTAGCCTCTGGCTAACTGCGGCTCACTTACAGTTGATTGATGAACATCGTTCCTACAAAATAAATTAATGCTTTATTTAAAAGGTAACTATATCCGATCCAACTTTATTTAGCCACATATGGAAATCGATTAGGTGAAGCGTTTACGCTGAGAAACACACAAACAAACAAATGCACGGCGGCAGCGCGACGGTGATTATAACAAGTCTCCAGCGGGGTTATCCGAGCGATGTAAATGGATCCGTTGTGTGAAGTTGTTTGGGTCTAACAATTTGAATTCACAGACACAGACGTATCCCCGAGCCCACGCGTCTTGCCGAGAACAGCGTGACGATAGCACGTTGTCCTATTTCCTTAGTCGTTTGGGTTTCTTCTTTCCGACAGCACGTGAACGTCGCACAGAGATAGCGCCGCTCCGGTCGGATTCCACGGAGCTGCGTGCCTCCCCGTGCAGCTGCATCCGGAGGAAGAGCCCCCGGACAAGTTTAAACGTGGAAACAGCGTCCCGGAACTCCAGCGAGAGGCCAATTTAGCTGACCTTTTGTTAGGAAAAGGTCCACGGAGGACTGTAGTGGTCTTTATTTCCCCCAGAACAGCACAGCAATGGACTGAACGCTTCCCGCGAACCTTGCCGTCCCGGGGGAGCCTTTTTGTTGTTTGGGGTCAACCTAACTGAATACTACCGCTGGAGACCGAGAGAGAGACAGGGGGACATTGACGAATAGACTCGAATTCTTTCTGCCTGACGTCTGGGTGCGAGCTGCGGTTCACGCCGGGATGAAGGAGAAGTGAACAGCGGCGGAGCGCCAGACGGAGACGGTGAAAGCTGAACTCATCTCACGGACCAACGGGGGTCCCCGACCCGCCTCAACCACACACAGGTACTCTCCGGTCCCACCGAGCGCGGCCATGCTGACCCCAACCCGCCTCTCACTTCACTTCGCCGGCGTAGAGCTGCGCTCGGTGTCTAGCGGCCACACGGTGAATGGTAGACCGTGTGTGTGTGTGTGTGTGTGTGTGTGTGTGTCCGCTCCACTGTGGGCTCTCGGGTTCATCTTTTGTTCTCGTTCAAACGTCGACTACCAAACTCTATGTCGAGTCCAGTTACCAACGTTAATAGTAACAAGTGTGACTTCAGTTAAATGAACTCCCTTTGTAACAAAGGACGCGTTGGACAGCGTTGTCCTCCTGGTGTGGACTCTTCTGTTGTGCAGCCCGGATCCCAACATCAGCAACTTCACTGGAACCAGTGGTGCCGCTCCAGCGGACACACCGAAGGGCCCCACTGACCTATGAGAGAGGGTCAGAAACGTTTCTCCTATTTGTGCTCCATTTGAAACGTTGAATCCTGAGCTATGTGCGATCCAGGAGGGACTCTCTTAAAAGCTGAGCTCGCTCTCTCTCTCGTTACTTGATCCACAGTTCCAATGCTCTTCTGATGCTCCACTCCCTTATTAGATTACGGTTTAATCAGATATGCATGGAGGCCCTTAATCCTTATTTAACAAAGCAAACCAACTACAAACTGGGACACACACACACACCATTCATATCCGTGCTCCCCTGTTCAACCACAGGACTCTCATAGTATCTCCAGTCAGCCTTTGGGCAACATGTGCCTTGCTCAAGGGCACCGCTGGGTGTAGTTGTCTCTTGATGCTTTCCCATCACCGCCCTTGGGAAACACGACTGATTGGTTGTTACAACACGCCCGTAAAACCAGTTACATTGCTGCCTTAGCCTTGATTGGGGGGGAACAGTTTACAAACCAGCGCCATGGTAAGTATACCTGTGCCGGATGTCTGTGTGTGTTTGGGTCAACAAACACTGACATCACACGGTTTTCGTCACAGCTATACTGGTATTCGTGGCGTGTTGGTGGTTATCACCTGTAGAAATAACCCTGGTCGTCCCTGCTTTGCATTTGAATGATGCGACTTTTCCTTTTACTCGCCCCCCACACTTGTCTTTGGCATCGTCTTTTTCCAAAATATGCATCAACCATTCAATGAGATGCTCCCTTTCACGCCTGAAGCGTGTTGCTTACAAAATGAGTGGTCAGAAGGAGCTTTGCACGGTGGACTACGTAACGGCAAGAAGTTCTATTCTTATCTGGTATTTGTAACGTTTTTAAAACATCTTGTATTAGACTGGTGAGGCTCGTGATGAAGTGGGACATCCATAACCCACCAATCCATATAAATATTGTAACAGGCCATGTCACCATGGTTCACCCAGTAGACCTAATTATCATGTAACAATCAATTTGTGTTTGTGTTACTTATTGTCTTTTATAATGAGTTTCATAGACGTTTGCAATGGAGGCAATTTGGGATTTTGACTTTCAGCATTCAATGTGTTTTTTTCTTTTTTAGAATAATGGCTGTTTTCTGGGAGATTCCGCGACACAATGAAACTGTAATTACAATTTTAATACGTTTTCTGTTTTGAGATGATCGGGCGTTAAAGCTACATAGTGATTTTTTTGGATAGATTGTGGAGCTACAGCTAAAAACATTTATCAGACAAGTTATAGGCGTGAATTCAAACGACACACTGTACGCACTCTGTTGGTTTACATCACATCTGTGTTGAGTTGTGAGGGCACTAATTAATAAATAATTAAAAAATCAGAATATACACATTGTGAAATTAAACCGCTATCCCAGGAACGCTGTGCACGATGCCGTGAGGACTAAGAACGAAACATATGACCAGACTACAGTGTTCGATGGCGAGACGGCTGGTCGCAGCTGAAATAACAACAGGCTCTGAGGTTTGGCAGATGAGACCCAAACGATTTCAGATTTACTGCGACAGTAACTTCAGGATTAGCATTATCTTAACAGATCGGGGGGACGAGCAGATATCGCGGCACGTTTGTCTCACAGAGTGAAGCTGCTGCATCGGAATCGGAGCCGAGCTGAAGTGTTGCACCAGTGGACAAGTTTCATTAATACAAGATGAAGCGTGAGGCAAAGGAAATACAACAATCTTTAGCTTCAAACTTTACAGTCCACAATGTGGGGAACATCGTCTTTGGCTTCACTACACTCATAATTAATTACATATTGATGAGTAGGGAAAAAACTTCAATTCAGTTCAATTTCCAATCAAATGCAGCTCAGTAGGCCTAATACGAGAGTCCACTGTGCAGATTCTGCAAAGCACGTAACAAATGTGCAAATTCAGCACGTGGGAGGGTGAAGAACCCTCTGGACTACAATTAGCAAAGTATTTGATCATTTATCTTTGCTTCAGGTTCCAGTAGTGAAGAGGACACAGCAAGACCAGCAGACTGTGTAAGTTGGTGCAAACTATTTTTTGAAACGCCAACAGGTAGTGTTTATGGATACTTATTAATGGCATTGATTGTTTCAGCTTCCCATGTGGACATTCAAGGGCTATAGTTCTGTCGGCGCAAAGCAACGTTGAATCCTGGCCAAACTAATCGACTGTTCCATCCCCGAACCAGCGTCCCCCAAACGCACTCGGTGGACAGCAGCATTTTATTATGTTCAAACAAAGGCACGGCCGGTAGCAAGTGTTTACCTTGTTATGTTGGTGGACCGGCTCAGCTTTAATTTGTAGGGTGTCACTGTGTCCAGCGTCCTTCAGCACAGCGGCCCCCAAACGTTGCCTCACGGTTGCACGATACACAATATTTCGCGGAAAAGGCTCGGGAAATGTGTCAAGAGGGACAAACTTTTTTCAGAACGCCGCTTTAGCCGCTGCCCTTTCAATCAGCCCCGTCAATCGGTCAGCACACACAAATTGCGTGTAAACATTTACATACTGTTTTCTTTCAATTCAGTCCATGCTCGAGCCCTCAGGATGAATTGTAATAATCCTTATGAACAAATACCTGCGAAACTGATGAGATTCCCATCAACATCCTTGACAATGTCAATGATTCTTTTGTTTGCTGTTATGGTTTCCTAAAGACAAATGGGAGCCAGTTATCTGTGCTGCTTTATCAGCTGTTGAATTATGTGTGTCATGACTTCCAATCAGTCAGCAGTCTGTCCTCATCTTTCCTTTGCAACGGGCCTGTGCATCATTTAAGAGCGAGTCAAACCATCCAGACAGTTTACTCGATCTCTTTGACGATAAGATGCGTGTTCTGTCAGCTTGCACTTATTGTCTTTCTCAACTTCTGAGTGGCATCAAAAACCCATTTCTGCTCTGATCTGTGTTCTATGTTTGTAGTTACCTGTACTGCCTACAGTAGGTCATCGAAAAAAGCTTTCAGGTTTCTATCCAATCCAATATTTATAATTTATAACCGTGTAAAACTCAGTTCTTTTTTTCTTCTCTTGTTACGCAACAAACCGCTTTCTT